TTAATCCCAGCAGTCAGGAGTCACGGGCAGGTGGATCTGAGTTTGAGGCCAGCCTGGTCTACAGAGCAGAAAAAAGAAAAGGAAAGAAAGGAAAATGAGGGGCTAAAAATGGAATTCAGTTGGTAGGATGCTTGCCAAGCATGAGCATGAGGCCCTGGGTTTTTATGTCCTCAGCAGCACATAAAGCCAGATGTGTTGGCACATGCCTCTAATCCCTGTACTCAGGAAGTGGAGGGAGAAGGATGAGGCATTTAAGGTCATCCTCGGCTACGTAGTGAGTTTGGGGCCATCCTGGGCTAACTGAGACTCTATCTCAAAAGGGGCAGGGGAGGCGTAGCCCAGCATGGTACTGCAGGCCTGTAATCTCACTCTTGGGAGGCAGAGGCAGGTGGATCTCAATGAGTTCAAGGTCAGTCTGGTTTACATAGTTAGTTCCAGACTAGTCAAGGCTACATATTGAGACAAATCTGGCCATGGGGGAGAGGCAGCAAGGACATTGGGGACATGGCTCAGTTGGTAAATTGCTTGTCATGTAAGCCCGAGGACCTGAGTTTGGATCTTCAGTGTCCATATAAAAAGCCAACGCAGAAGCACACAGCTGCAATCCCAGGGTTGGAGAAAAAGATAGGAGGGACCCTGATGCTCCCTGGCAAGCCAACCTCACTGAACCGGTAAACCCAAGGTTCCGTGAGAGACCTGTCTCAAAAAGGTAGGTGGAGAGTGATCAAGGGAGAGACCTGATGTTGATCACATGCTCAAACACAAAATGTGCAAACACACACACACACACACACACACACACACACACACACACGGTTTAAACGACAGGTGATTTACACGTCAGAACCAGTCTGCCCTGTTCTGGACTAACAGTATTTTGGAAATTTATTCCCTTTGTAATTTGTATGTTTACATAGCCAGGCTCCAGAAGGAACAGGGTGAAGTGTTGTTGGCTTTGTGACCTAACCTTGCCTCAGTCCTTCACCTCATCCTCTCAAATGCTGGATTACAGGCATGCTCCACCAAACTCACACCACACTTGGCTCCAGGCATCGTCGAATCACTGATTTCCTGTCGATGCAGCAATGGACACCATGACCAACAAACTGTTTATAGGAAGAAGCCTTGGGCTCACAGAGGGACAGCCTGTAATGGCAGAGAGACGTGGCAGCAGGCAGCCGAAGCAGGAGTCCTAGAGAGCACATCTCTCCCTACAAACAGAAAGAACAAATTGAAAGTGAGGTTAAGCTATAAACTCAAAGCCTGTCTCCAGTGACGTCATTCCCCCAGCAAGGCTCCACCCCCTTACACTTCCTTCCTTTTACCTCCCCAAATAGCACAACCCACTGGGGACCAGGTACTCAAATTCACGAGCCTCTGGAGGACAATTCTCATTCCAACCACCATCCCCAGGGCTTTTGTTTGTTTGAGACAAAGTCTTAACTATGCTGCCTAAGTTGAATGGAGCCCTGGAACCCTGGACTCCTGGGCTCCAGCCTCTTCAGTCGCTGGGACTGCAGGCAGGGACCACCATGCCAGGCTTGGAAGTGTTTTTGAATGATAGAAAAATGTCAAACATATACAAAATTCTAAAGCACATTATGTCGAAATTTCATGTATTATCACCCAGCTTCATCAATAATGGACTCAAGGCCACATGCCGGACTCCCTGCTTCCCTTTATCCCCCCAAATTATTTTGAAGCAAAGACTCAGACCAGGTTGTTTCATCTGCAGATATTTTGGCATGAGTCTGTAAAAGACAAGAAATAGTACACATCTTTGTTTACTTCCGTGTTGGTCAGGTTTTTGTCTGCTTGATTTAAGGGATTATCTCTATCGGGTTGGCCAGTGGACAAGCTCGTGGGTGGTTTCTTGATTGATGATTGAGGCGGAAAAGCCCAGCCCACTGTGGGTGGTGCCGTCCCTGGGCAGGTAGAGCAAGAAAGCAGGCTGAGCAAGCCAGTAAGCAGCACCCCTCCAGGGCCTCTGCTTCGATTCTTGCCTCCAGGTTCCTACTTGAGTTCCCACCCCGACTTCCTTTCATGATGGAGTGTGTGTGTGACCTGAGAGTCGTAAGCTGACATAAATCCTTTCTAACCCTAAGTTGGTTTTGGTCAGTGTTCGTCACAGCAGCAGAGAAACCCAGCTCGGACAGTTTGCTTCCTTGGGTCGCCATGGCCTGTGAGCTGTGTGAGAAGCTGGCTTTAACCTCTTCCTGGAGTTTCCATGGAGCCAGGGCCGGGGCCAGCTTCAAGCAACCTGCTCAGACAGAGAACCCAGCACTCAGGAGGGGTCTCTGCTTGGTTTAACTCTCTGAAGTTACTAGCTTTAGAGTTTTAACTTTGGAACAAGGGCTTTGCATTTTCAGTTTTTAAGATTGTATTTTACCCAGCACTCGGGAGGCAGAGGCAGGCAGACCTCTGTGAGTTTGAAGCCAGCCTGGTCTACAGGGCAAGTTCCAGGACAGCCAGCGTTGTTACACAGAGAAACCTTGTCTCGAAAACCAAACCAAACCAAACCAAAACAAAACAAAAAAACAAACCAAACAAACAAAAAGATTATATTTTAACTTGTGTGTGTGTATGTGTGTGTGTGTGTGTGTTGGGCAGATACATGCCACAGCATGTCTGGGGACAACTTGTGGTAGTTAGTTCTCTCCTTCCACCATGTGGGTCCCAGGGATGAGATTTAGATAGTCCGGCTAGGTGGCAAGCACCTTTACCTGCCTGAACTACCTCTCTACCTCTTTATTTTCATCCTGCCCTGGACTTCAAAAGTTGTAGTTCTGGTTCTGGCTGTAGCTCCCCATGAAGTAAACACGTAACAGGCTCTCTATGCAAAGAAATTAGCACACTCTGGGTCTTTACCCTCAACTGCCCATCCTTCAGCAACCCCTAGCTCAGGCGTGGTAGCATCGTCCTTCCGAATGGCTGGATCTGAAACTCAGGAATCAGACTGGGGATGCAGCTCAGCAGAAAAGAGTGTGTGCCCTGCATGCACAAAGCCCTGGGTTCCATCCTGGGCACCACATAAACCAGGTGCAATCATGTCCACCTGTCCTCCCAGCATTAGGAAGGTAGAGGCAGGGGAACCGAGTTCAAGGCCAACTTCCAATACACAGTAAGGTCAAGGCCAACCTGGGATCCAAGAGATTGAATCTGAAAACTAAGTATTTGAAATATAGAACCTGGTATCATCTTTGTCTCCTTCCTCTCCTTCAGCCTCCCATGTCCCTACCATGCTAGTGACTGCCACATCTGGCCAGCTTCTGTGTGAGATGAGCAGGGAGGGAGAGAGTTTTGAGCTGTCTTTGCAAGGCAGGCTTTCTATTTGCTCGGGTTTCGGCTTGCTTGAGTGGCCTCCAGGGTTGTGACTTCATTCTGGATCCTTCAGGTCCTGGTGGTTCCTTTGGGAGGTGACTCCAGGAAACGTGGTGAGTTTATGGGGAAGCGAAACAGGGGACACAGCAGAGACACGAGCATGTGTTCCTGATGGCTTATCTCTTCACACAACGGGGAGGCGGGGGCGAGGAGGGGCCGCGTTCATCCTGTACAGTACCTCCTGAGACTATTATAGGGGACTCACAGAGAATTGTCCACTAGATGGAGAGGAAGCTAGAGGATGTATCCACCCACTCCTGTGTCCTGTTTGGTTTATTGGGGTTTTGCTGGGTGGTGCCGGGGATTCGTAACTGCTAAGCACACATCCTACCACTGGGCTACCCCATCAGTCCCCCGAAGCTTCTACAACCGTCCATTTGTGCGCATGCTAGCCAGGCACACATCTGCAGCCAAGGAAGGGCGGCAGACTGGGAGGCAGAGGGCCTGAGGCAAGAAGCAGCCACCGGCTAGGCTGGTGATGCAGCTCAGTTGGTAGTTATTTACCTAGCACTTGTGAAGCCCAGGATTTGACTCCCAGAACCCCACAAACTGGGTGTAAGGGTGTGTGCACAATTCCAGCATTTGTGAGATGGAGGCAAGAGGGTCATCCTTGGCTACATAGCGAATTTGAGGATGGCCCAGGCTACATGCAACCCTGTCTCAAAAACTAAAATCAAACAAAAACAGAAGAAGGCATTGGACACAGGGGACCTGTCTCTCATAGGTCTGAGGAAGCTCCTGCGGGCTGAAGAGCTATGGGCAACCCTCATTTTCTACAGAAGGATGGATGGCAAATGTAAGACAACCCCATCTCTTCCCTTTCCTAGAACCCTTCCAAGTCATAACTTCATGTTTTTTTTTTCACTGTCAGCATCCCGGGTAGAGCCAGCAAGTCTCCATCATTTGGCTGTTTCCTCATCATTCACATTGGCCTCTTGTCGGTCTGAACAGTGGGATCTAGGTGGTAAGGACATAGTTTAGACATCCATAGGGAGATTTCCTTTTTGAACTAGAGAATGTTTCCCTATCTAGAAAAGGACCTATTGTGTTTAGCCCCAGGAAATTCCTCCACGAGTCTAAAACACCCGTGAGATCTTTGCAGGACAATATGGAGGAAATGGTAATACTGTTCACGCCTTTGTCTAGCTAAAGATGTCTGAGCCATTCCAGCATCCCACTTCCTTTCATCAAGAAGAAGTTGGCATTCAGTTTTATTAGATTTATTCACACTCAAAGCAGGTACCATTGTTGACTGGAATAGTCTACAGTTATCAGAAAGCAAGAATACAAGGAACCTGTTTTGGGGTTTTAAAATGGTAGTTTTGTGTTGATTTGGTTTGAAGACAGCATCTCTTTCTGTTTCTTTCTTCTGCATGTATTTATTTGTTTCTACTGAGACAGGGTCTGTCTAATGTAGGTCTGCCTGACCAGGCTGGCCTCAGACTCCCAGAAATTCACGTGCCTCTGCTCCCGAGTGCTGGGATTAAAAGCATGTTCCTGACTTTGGAAAAAAAAATTAATTACATTTATATATTTGCTTTTATTCATTTTTTTAGTATTATTTATTTGTATTTGCACCCCACCCCTACCCCCATAGTGGGAATGTTCATTTCAGGGGACAACTTTGGAGAGTCATTCTTTCTTCATATCTTGTGGGTTCCAGGGATCAAACTCAGGTCAGTGTAAAAGACAAAGCTTTGTGTTTGTTACGAAGTACCAGGGACTGAACCAGGGATGCCATGCAGGTAGGAAGTGCTCTCACAGACATGCATCATCAGCCCTAAGATTTTTGTTTTTGCTACCAAGTGTCTTTTCTTTCTCTCTGTGTAGGTGTAAGGATTATGTCCTTTTTTTTTTTTCTTCACTATTCAAGGTTTATTTGGTGTTTTCATTGGCATGACACTTGAGTAGCTGATTGCATCATCCATATGCAGATCTTACTTTTTATATAGTATTTCAATGCACACTACAGACACATAATACACAAAATAATATCCTTTAGAACAGTTATGCACAAATATGCATGATGGATTTACCCACTGGAGCCGCGGTATGACTAACTGGGAACTCACTGGCCTAGGCATGTTGGTGAGGGTGCCCAGCAGACACAGCAGTCTCCCAAGCTAAGCGAAGCCTGCACACAGTTGGCAGTGTGTCTCAGAGACAGTGGGACAACAGTGGGACTGCCACACCAACCAGGTTACCACTACACAAGTACACTTAGCAGCAGGGCAGAGCTGTGGGAACTGCCACCTTTACACAACAACATAAACACCGCTCAGATGAGGAGACGGTGTGCGGTCTCCATAGAAACCCTGCTGCAGCCTGGACAGTGAAACTCTAGGACATCTGAGGACTTTAGAACAGCCGCTCTTTCTGGATGCCCCAGAGCGTATCTGCACTCTTCTTCAAGCGGGCCTCCTCTTCAGAAGTCAGAGTCACCTTCACAACATCTGAGATTCCATTTTGTCCCAGGATACAAGGGACACTGAGGAAGACATCATCCTTGATTCCATAGAGACCCTTAATCATGGCAGACATGGGATGCACCAGCCTAAGATTCTTCATCATGCTCTCAGCCAGGTAGGCCACCTCATAGGCACTGTCAACCACCTGCTTGTAAACCTCCTTCCACTGCTCCTTGTCTGCATCGCTGCCCAGTTCTGGGTTCAGGTTCTTCAGGGAGACACCAACAACATTCACACCACTCCACACAGGCACCACTGGAGTCTCCATGCTCCCCTAGGACCCATCCATGACAACTTAGCAGGTGAATGCCCAGTCTTTCTCCCATCAGGTAACGGAACCGAGCTGAATCCAGATTGCAACCACTCCCAATAACTCGGTTTCTGGGGAAGCCTCTTATCTTCCAGGCCACGTGGGTCAAGATATCAACTGGGTTTGAAACAATAAGCGGCTTGCAGTTTGGACTGTACTTCACAACACTGGGAATGATGAACCTGAAGATGTTCACATTTCGCTGGACCAGATTGAGTCGGCTCTCTCCCTCTTGCTGATGGGGGGGGGGGCGCTGTGATAATGACCAGCTGGGAGTTTGCAGTCACACTATAGTCTTTGCCAGAGACAATTTTTGGTGTTCTGAGGAAAAGGCTGCCGTGCTGGAGATCCATCATCTCTCCTTTCAGCTTGCCTTCCATGACATGAACAAGAGCAAGCTCATCGGCCAAATCCTTCTTTAGGATACTGATGGCACAAGCCATGCCAACAGCACCAACCCCAACAACCGTAATCTTGTTCTGGGGGGCTTGTTCTTCCTTAAGTAGATTCACAATCAGCTGGTCCTTGAGGGTTGCCATCTTGGTGGACTTTGAACCTCTTGGGACCGCTAGTGCACGATGAACAGCAGCGTGGTCTGGGCTTGGCGACAGAGGCTCCAGCACCGGATTATGTCCTTCATTACGTCACCAGCCTGCGATGGCGTCCCAGCCTAAAAAGTGGGCGTGCCCTCTCTTTCCACACTCTCTCCTTCCGTATTCTCTCCCCTCCAGACGGTCTCTCTCTCTCTCTCTCTCTCTCTCTCTCTCTCTCTCTCTCTCTCTCTCTCTCTCTCTCTTCTTCCCAATAAAGCTCTAGAAAGGTAACCGTGGCTCGTGATTCTTCTGCCACCGCGGCATCCAGCCATGAGCGCCACTGCTTAACCAACAGTAGGTGCCTGTGGTGGCCAGCAGACAGACAGACAGACAGACAGACAGACAGACAGACACACACACACACACACACACACACACACACACACACACACACCCATGCCCGGAGCTGGCGTTAACAGGTGATTGTGAGCTACAGATGAGGGTGCTGAGAACCAAACCCTGGTCCTATACTAGAGCAGCAAACGCTCTAACCACCAAGCTACCTCTCCAGCCCCCTGTGCTTCTTTTTGGGTTGGAGTATCTAAGAGTTTTGTCAGACATTAAAGTAGCTGTGGCAGAGGAGCAAGGACCGGAACCTTCAGGTAGGTGTCACCGCTCCGAGTTCACAAAACACACGCTGGGGTGAAATTGCTGGACCTGCGATAGGAATTCCAACCACGCCCCATGGTCGTGCATGCCGCACTCCCGGTTGGGACACTTAGTCATCTCCGTCTAGTCATTTCTGGGTCATACGTCCTGCGTGACCCATGCCCCATGGTTACGCGGTCACGTAGTCGCGGACGTGACCTTGTGATCTCTGTGAGTGGGCCTGTGTGCGCAGGCGCAGGTACATTCTGGCCTTTATAAGGCGGCGCCATGTCCCGCCCCCATTGTCTCGTCGTCCCCGCCCCCCCATCTCTCTCTCTGCACCTCTCTGTGTTTCCTCTCCTCCAGGCCTGGCTCTCTCTCTCTCTCTCCTCTTCTAATAAAGTTCTGAAAGGTACCACTGGGTTCTGTTGTAATCGTGACCTTTCCACGCGGTAACCAGCCACCAGCGCCATTTTCCTTCCCGCCTGTCCTCAGCCAGTGTGGCTGCTCAAACCTGAGCTCGTCCATGCCGGTCTTTATTAAGCTGAAATGCTCTGGGTATACTGTGCCATGCTTCTGGAGTTCCAGATGGGTTGCACACACAAATAATTCGTACTTTGAGCTGATGGCTTTCTAATGAGCAATATAAATGTCACCTCAACAACAAGAAATTGAAGGCATCTCATTTCTGGGATGCTGCTGGGTTTTTTGCCTGGTTAAATTCAATTTTCAGCTATATAACTCATGACACCACTAAGAGACCCAAATTGTATGACATATTGGGCAGGACAGCCATGTAAAATATTCCATCATGCATTTACATTTTTTATTACATTTATTCATTTATTGGGAGGGGGGAGCATGCCACAGTGTGTGTGTGTGTGTGTGTGTGTGTGTGTGTGTGTGTGTGTGTGTGTGTGTGTGTGTAGACAATTTGAGGGAACCGGTTAATTCTGGGATAAAACTCAGCTATCCTGTACTCTGACACTGAGCCATCTTACTGGCCCCCATCAGGCTTGCTTTTTTCTCAAGACAAGGTTTCTCTGTGTAACACAGCCCAGGCTGTACTGGAACTCACTTGGTAGACCAGGCTGGCTTCAGAGATCCACTTGCCTCGGCCTCTGGGGTGCTGGGGTTAAAGACGTATACTACCAGCACCCAGCTCCAGTCTGATTTTCTTAGCGATGGGACTGACCATTCATAGTTCAGGGCAATGAGAGGTGAACAGACACTTTAGGAAGCTTCTGGGAAAGTTTTTCATTTCCTGATGAAAGGGAATCACTGGTACTCCTAAATTTTCCCGTGGTCCCCTGTTCAAGCGGTGATGTGACTGATGTGACTGCTCCAGCTTGGGATGTATGCAGCTCCAGCAGCTCCTGCCCACCATGAGGGGGTTCTGGGCCCTGCCCTGGGCAGCAGCCCTGGCTGTGTGCTGGCTCCTTTAACTCGGCTTATGTTGCCTTCTGGAGTGAGTCACACTGTTGCTGACTTGATGTGAGAAATGTAGAGGGGCTTGAATGACCTAGCACTGTAAATGTCCCAGAGACTGTCCTAGACTTTAATGTCACCGGCTTCAAAATAGCTCCAGACGGTGTTGCAAGCTTCTCCCCCGGGGGGCCTGCCGCCTCCCCCCCCCCCCCCAGGCAGGACTTCTGTGTTTAGAGAGGGATTACAAACCTCTGAACTGGTCTGGTGGGCCTCACCCCTGTCCCCCTGGCCCTTCTGAGCCCTTTTGAATCAAACCTTGTCATTTAAGAAAGGGAAGACAAGCAAATACATAGGGTTAAAATGAAAAAAAAAAAAAAATTTTCCCCCGCTAGGGTTTTTAAAGCCAAGTCCTGAGGTTAAGACTTGTTAGTGGGGCCCACCTGCCCTCCTTTTAAGTAGATAAAAGACTACATCCACCGTCGCCCCTTCCACCCTCTTCCAGTCCACTCCCTCCACCGCAAACCCTATAATTAAAAAGGCTCTTTTCAGATGGGGCTACAATTCAAGCACCATCATTATGAAAGCCCTGCCCCGTTTCTGTGGTTACTGACAACCCCCTTTGTGTGGATCTCATTAAATCAAACCAGGGAGTCCTGATTAGAGGGATGTGTGTGTGTGTGTGTGTGTGTGATAATTTCTAGCAAGAGAAAGCCATGTTGGTCTAAGAAATAATGTTGCAAATACAGGTATGACACCACTTTGGATTAGAAAGTAATATTATTCCTCTTGCGGGAGCCGCTAACAAATCAACCATGAGAAATTGAGAATGGTTTTTGTCTCCACACCCTTTCTCTGTCCTGGCAGCCTTCTCTGTCATCCTCGAAAGGGAGACACAGAGCTTTCTCTGAAGAGCTGTTTTATTGCCAGGCCTTGACGGAGATAACTGAACCTCTACTTTCATCTCTGCATCTCGGGTTGTTAGGAGTAATCTACTTCTCATAAAGAAAAGGACTCTTGGCCAACCCATAAGCAATGGCAGGTTTTCCTTAAACCTTGGGGAGTCAAATGTGGGCTGGGGAGACGGTCCGGCAGGTCAAGGCACTTCCCACTAAACCCACTAAACCTGATAAACTGAGTTCCATTCCTGCTGCCCACATGGCAGAGGGAGAGGACTTCCCATAAGTTGTCCTCTGACTTCTACCTGTGCAAAGTGGCACGTGTATGTACACACACACACACACACACACACACACACACACACACACACACACAAACACACACGTACAAAATCAAATGGAATTTAAACTTCTAAACTGACCTAACAGGTGAGATGCTCTCACATTTTAACCTAGACCCAGCTTGTGCTAGCTGCAGTTATATTTTCCCACCTTAAATTTTGCTATCCCAGAATTTTCTAAAGTCTTCGTATTATTTTTTTTTTCTCGTCTTTGAAACCAAATACCTGGAAGAAGCAGCTTAAGGAGGAACAGCTTCTTTTGGCTCAGGGTTCAAGAGACATAGTAGGATTTTACTGCAGGGAGAGAGGTGAAGTGCTGGGCTGTTCCACATTGGCAGCAGAGCTCAGGGAACAAACTATTTACATCTTGGTGATAGCGGACGGAATGCAGAAAGCTCTGGTCAGAACCAGAGTCACCGACAACCTTTAAGACCTGCCCTCAGGGACCTAGGTCGGCCCCACGTCCCAGTTTTCATGACCATCCAAAACAGTATCACCAGCTTGGGACCAAGTGTTTAAACACCTGAACTTGTGAAGGACATATCACATCAAAAGCTGGATGTGACATGGTGGTGCACGCCCTTGAAACCCACGGGGGTAGAGCCGAAAAGATCTCAGTGAATTCAGGGCCAGCCTGGTCTACATAGTGAGCTCCAAGGATACACAAAGAAGCCCAGTCTCAAAAAAAAAACAAACAAATCCCAGCACTTGGGAGGCGGAGCCAGGCAGATCTCATTGAGTTTGAGGCCAGCATGGTTTACAAAGTGAGTTCCAGGATAGCCAGGACTGTTAACACAGAGAAATCCTGTCTCAGGGGAAAAAAAAAGTAATTAATGAATTACTTTTTTTTTAAGGACCCTTCCTTATCATAAAATCCCCAAATGATCCCTTTGGGAATGGCCTGCCTGCTTCTGACAAAGGGTCTTTGTCTAAACCAACCTTGCATTCTATTCTCTCTGGGTCTTTGTTCACTTGAATCAGGGCTCTTTCTTGTCTCTGAACCCAAGTCTCAGTGGTGCTGATCAAATCGCTAGATGACTTCATTTTTTTTTAAAAGATTTATTTATTTAAGTATAAGAGGGCTCTCTGTCTGCATGTATGACCCTATGCCCAAAGAGGGCATCAGATCCCACTATAGATGGTTGTGAGCCACCATGTGGTTGCTGGGAATTGAACTCAGGACCTCTGGAAGAGCAGCCAGTGCTCTTAACCATCTCTCCAGCCCCTAGAGGACTTCATTTAAACACTTAATCTCCATAGACCCACTGCTCTTGAAGGGGCCTTTGTGCCCCTCTCTCTGTTTAATTCATGCTTGTTTCCAATTTGCACCCATTTGCTTCAGCAGTCACAGGCGGCCATGTGAAAAAAAAAAGGAAATAGCCTGTTTGAGGATGATAAGCGGGACTGAGGGCAGAGCTCAGGGATAGAGCATTCACCTAGCATCAGATAGACCCTGAGTTTGGTCCCTAAGCCCTGAGACTGAGGGTGAGGGGAATGCCAGGTGGGATGATGATGGTTTACATCCATGATCTCAGCACTTGGGGAGCTGAGGCAGGGGGGTTGCCAAGAATTCAAGACCAGCTTGGGCTACACAGTGAATTTCATTGACTGCAGAGTAAACACTGTCACACACACACACACACACACACACACACACACACACACACACACACTTGCACATATTTCACTGTGCACCTTATTACAGAATACCTTTTCTTGTCGGAACACAGTCCATGAATGAAGCCATGGGAGAATTCTGAGCCTGTGAGAAAACTCCAAGTAAACCAGAGTCCTGTAAGCTCTGTTCCTCCACAGCATG